ACACAGATCTAAAGAAATTTCTTTTTAATCCACCTCCACCAACGAGGTTATGTTTTGATCAGTGTTAGTTGTTTTGTTTGCTGGATTATGCCAAAGCTGCTAAAATGACTTCCATGAAACTTGGTGGAAGGATGAGTAATATGTGTCAAGGAAGAAACTGTTACAGATCTGGATCAGGGGGCAGATCCAGGGTTTTTCTTTATCTTCTTTAAAATGATTCACAAGCTTATGTTTTCTCCTACTGACAACTCGAAGATGAAAACAATTAAATTACATATTTAGATATAGAAAAAAACAATATTGTGTTACTGTACTTGTTAATCAGAACCATGGGTCCTGTATCTATACATACGATACAAAGACAGCTGGTAATATTGCTGTTATATGTTATTGGTCTGTGGAGTTGGGGGATGAAGGTGGCCACATCAGAAAAGCCCTCTCCTCTTCTTCTACTCCTCCAGGCTGATAGACCTGCAGGGGGCGATGTTCTTCAGCAGACAGGGGTTTGCCTCTAAAGGTCTGAGGCACTTTCTATCTGTGAAAAAATCAATTTGCTGAAATTTGGCTTTTTGTCCTTAAGACATTTGGTAGATAATATTTCAGTGGTACTTTTGGAATCTGTCCTTCAGCAGTAGCTTCTGTGTTTGTCACTGAACTTGTAGTTCAGAGCTTGTTGGATGGACTGCTCCTTTTCGTTGACTTCTTTAAGAGTTGGGAGTTGCATCCCAGCACCCACCATACCCTTTTTCTATCCATGAACAAATTATAACCATACCACAAGGTACCATAACCTTTATCTGTTTCTTTTTTCACAGTGATCCAAGTTAAAGGTAAACCTCCTCCAGTTCCACCACATCCACAATTTTAGCAACTACTGTACATAACATGGTTCACTGCTTCCTGCCATCCTTACCCTATCCCACTAACAACAACAACCCTAACCATTCCCACAGAGCATCCAGTCACAGTCTCTGCAAAAGAGGCTAAAACTATTAATTAACAACTTCTTCCTTCTTCACTTCAACTGTGCAAGATCACAAGGGGATGGTTTTTAATTGCACCTGCAATCTAGTCTGGTTGCAACGTGAGAGCTTCAGTAACCTCTGTAAACAGAATCTCTTTGTGAATGTAGGGATATGTGAAAGAGGAATATTAATCTTAAGATATGTATGTGAGGGACAAGACTTTGGCACCAGAAGCCTTCTGATTTCTTTTTCTAGTTTGACCAATCAGGTTTAGTTACCCACAGGTAAACCATCCGTGTGGAGATCGAAAGAGGCGGATCACGTTGCCTGTTTTTTATTTAGCTGTCAATAGAGATTAGCCAAAAGGTTGTCTGGACCCAAACCACCTACACAAAGGATGAGTTCTTGTGTTTTAACTGATAAAAGAAACTAGTCAGACTATAAACAGTGTACATGAGACCAGAAGACAGAGTCTGGCTCGGATATCTACTCTCTACACCAGAAACCCCAGAATATCGGCAAGTGCAGAGACTAATTCGTCCTCGTCTCAGATTAGGACTTCAGGTATTTCTTGGTTGGATACAGTGGACACTCCATTAAATGACTGACAGACAACCAGAGATAACACCAGTATGTTTTACACTTTGTGTTGGTTTGCAGATGTTGATATTGGCACGAGCCAGACTAGCTTTTGCCCCTATGTCCACTCTCAATGCTAAACTAACCTGACTGGCTGCTGCCTGTAGCTTCATATTAGGTAAATCATCTGGATTCATATGGTGCTTTTCTAGTCTAGACGACCAAGTAAAGCACTTTAAAGTACAGTTTTGTCATTCACACATTCATACACTGCATCTATGTGCAGCACTTTCACCGACAGCACCGACAAAGCAATATGGGAGAATTTTGAGGTTCAGTGTTTGGTGTTTTGCCCCAGGACACTTGGGCATGTGGAATGCTGAAGACTGGGATCGAACCACCGACCCATTGGTTAGTGGACAACCAGCTCAACCCTCTTAGCCCCAGCTGCCTCTAATATTTGGTTTCAATCTCCTTACTTAACACTCTGCAAGTAAACAACATTTTTTTATTTTCTTTTACCTGGACATTTTCCTGCGGAGTGTGACTGCCTCACCAAAACAAATGCTCACAAAATAATGAAATCATGTTTTCACTCAGGTTGTTAAAAGCATTCTCATTCTGGGGCCCATCAGCACCACCCACTGAGATATTTTCAGTAAAATAGCAAAAAAGCGTGATGACGGCTCAAAAAGCATCTACATGTTAAACAGTGATTAAAATTGCATAGATTTCAGACTTTAGCATAGAAAATATTCAAATGCAGCGCACTGTGATTGAAGGAACTTGTGATTGGAGTTGTTTGGTGCTCTCCTCCAAACACTCTCTGCAGTTCAAGCCTCCTCCCGCTCCCACATTAACATGCTTCTATCATTAACCCCCACACCCCACCCACTGCATAATAGCTAGAGCTGAATGCAGGAAGGACAGAATAAGAATGCAGTTCCTTTCCTTTTTTTTATCTTGTGGAGCATCTTGAATGAATGATTGATGTGAGGGGAGCGAGATCAGAAAGATATAATCACGGTCTAACGAACGCAGAGCTTTAAGAAATATATACTGGAGGAATGCTATAAATTTATAAACACATCATATATTAATATATAAGTGGTTCATTGAATATTCAAAAAGAAGGAAATAACATAATCTGTGCACCTCCGTGTGTAATGTGTGCTTTATATTCATTCTTTCTACCCAGGAAGAAGGTAACAAATGCTTTGGAAGTTGAATTCAGACTCACTATCGTCTGCTCATTCATCGAAACCTCACAAGTTATTTTTCCCAGTAAACTATAGAATGCAAAGATTAAACACAGTCGTGTTCATTGTCACCGGCTAAACAAATTTCCATTCTCTTTGAGTGACACGTGTTTTGTGTGAAGACGTGCAAAGCCAGCACGGGGAGATAACTTCATTTCCAAGCTTTGAGCACAGATGAGGCAGAGACAGTTAGTCCGTGTTCGGTATATGAGCACCTTTCACGGGACAAATGGAATGTCAATCAAGGGCCCGTACACAGATGCTTTCTCCCTGGTGGGGCCTGAGATGCTTTTTGGTGATGCGGCTCTGTTGTTCCAACCTTACTCTGGGTGCACTGGGAATATTCTGTCCTTTTACCCCTCCACATCCCCCTCGCTCCATTTCAGATCCCCTGGCTATTAATGATTTCCTCAGCTCCTCAAGTTTGCCTCTTTAGGCTTTCCCTCTTTTCCCCCTTGTGTTTATCAATGTTGGATGTCTTGCATCCAAAGGTTCTTTCACAACTCTTCTTTTGTCTCTTATTTCTTCTCTTTCTCATAACTTTTCATGGATGTGGCTGTTCGATTGTCCCCTCCATATACTAATCCAATAGAAGGAACTGTGTGAAATGTATTAATGTGGCAGTGGTGGTAAATTTTGAAATTGTTTTTAGATATATATAAAAAGGTCCATGAAGAGGAAGATAAATGACAATACCTGCCCCCAAAATCTCAAAATAATGTAGTTATGACAAATAACTGCTAATCAAGCATTAAGTTGATCGAGAAAACTGGGAAAAAGCACAATTTCTTTCGTAATGTTTTCCACCTAACCTACAACTCCTAAGTTGGAACCATGGAAGTGTAACAGCGGCAGAAGTACCAGACCTTAGTTATTAACAATAATATGACCTCTGTCATCATGGTAACCAGAAGAAAACATCCAGTTAAGGTTGTAAAACTGTTTAGTCTGAGCACAAAAACTTCCTGGAACGGAAAAAATAAACGCTTGTGTTAAAATCATAGACAGTATTTTAAGATGGACGACATGACGGCTCCACAAAATTAAAGCCTTAAGTGTCTTAATTGCCCCCTGGTGGCTGGCTGCAGGATATGTCAATAACACTGCCTCCTTCATGTTAGTGGATAGGACATGTACCAAACTAGTGTAAAAATACATGTGAAATAGATTTTTCTCAAAGATGGTATGTGAGATTTTAGGTAGTTCTTATCAATCTGATGATCAAATTTAGAAATTTAAATACACTTAAACCACTACCACAAACTCCCCTTCCTCATCCTGAGGAGTTTCTGTACAGTTCCTTACTCCTTTACCTCTGTAGCGCTTGCCCTCTACCCCTTTTCTTAACATCACTACTTCTGCCATTTTCACTCAAATATTTTAACACCACCCCACATCCCTTTCACACTTGCCCCGCTCCCTGTCCTTCTTGACCCATAAAAGATGAATAAAAATTCTAAAGGAGAAGAAATAGAAGTAATGTTTCCACTTCAGCTGGGCAGCTTAAGACACTGTTATTAAAAACATGACAAGCCATTCAGTTGGTAAAGGTGCTTACTCAAGGGAATACGGAGGAGTGTTTATTCTTTGATTAATTTGCTCGGAGGAGACCTGAAATTTCCCCACTCATGAATATGTGGATGACAGGGAGATTTCTCTGTGGTGACAACTTATCTAAACTACAGGGCAAAACGATTATGCTAATATCAGGTTGTAGTCATCAATCATCTGGTGTCAATGTGGTGTCAACAGCATCACGTTCCTGATCCCCCTTCTGGCCATAACAACTGTGTGTGTGAGTGTGTGTG